TAAAACTAAAAAAACTAAAAAGTTAAATATGTAATTTTAAAAATCTACAGCTAAACAAATACAAAAAGTAATACAAAATTAACAGAAAACTAAAAACTAATTTTTAAAAATATATACAAAATAAAAAACTAAAAAAAAAAATCACAGGAAACAAATAAAGTACAGAGAGAGAGAGAGAGAGAGAGAGAGATAGGGAGAGCTAGTACATACATATGTTTAGATTTATATATTAATTTCGAAGTTGTTACGCACACAACAATATAGATATCCACATCAAGTAACTATTTTAGTCAAGTCAAGGCTATGTTGAGTATGCTTTATATTGAGTATGCATACATGAGAAATATATAGTTGATCTGTTTGATATGGTGCTATATTAAACAGTTGTTATACCCCTCAAGTTAGTTATTTGTTACACAGGACGCAGACACAACGTGAGCAGCACAAGCAACACAAAACGAAAAACAATGCTTGAAAATACTTTTCAATTTTCTGCTCAACAACTACAAAAGACGCTGACGACAAGACAAGGCAGCGGTAGAGGGAGATGGGGAAGAGAGGTGAAGAGTGCGCCGTCAGTGGTTGCCAGTGGCAGCAACTGACGGGTAAGCAGACGGACGGACGGACGGACGGACGGACGGACGGAGGAGAGGACGGACAAAGGCAACAGCAGGAAGTCTTTGGTAGTGTTAAGAAGCGCCCTATTGTGTATGCTATAATTTTCCTTGCGTTGTTTGTGGCACTGGCAACAGTGCGTATGAGTGATTTTTTCTCTGCTTCTCAAACTCAGTGTGCGCGTGTGTGTGTGTGTGCGTGCGTGCGTGTGTTTGTGTTGCAAATTTATTGCTCGCGAAGTGTTTTGTCTGCAGTTTTTTCATTTTATTTTCTCCTTTTTTTTAGGAGAGAATTTATTTGGCTGCCTCCTTTTGTCGGCCCGCATCTAGATCCTTTTAGTTTTCTATTTTGGCAACAAGTTGGCTCCAAGTTTATTCTGTGCCAAAACTTTTGCCTGCTTCGTATCTTTCAAGTGTCTGTGCCTCTGTCTGTCTGTCTGTCTGTCCGTCCCGTCTGTCAGACGGACGTAAAAAACTTGTACAAAAGCACTTCAAAGTGTCGAAACTAAAGTGTCAAAAAGCCTGCACCGTAGCGAGCAGCTAGAAAATTCTTTTGCTTCACTTTGTCTAAATTATGGCGTGGTAACTTTTTAATTCAATGCACAGAAATTGCATTAATTCACAGCACAATTGACAAAAGAAGCGCAAAAAATAAATGAAATACACAATAATAATAATGTAGCGCCCAGGTGTGCAGAGGGCGTGGCAACAACAATTTATCACTTGTGCTCATAAATAACACAAAATACACTGATGGACATAAAAATGTAGCTATGCAGATGCACACTCATAAATGGCCAGACCAAAGATAAATGTCTCTCTGCTCAGTGTGGGAATTCGTGGGTGTGTGACTGTGTGAGAGTGTGAGTGTAGTTTGTTTATAATGCAACTGTGTTGCCCCTCTATGCATATGGGCGGTTGGGTTGCGCCCGCACAGACGAACGAATATTAAATTTGCATAAGCACTAAATCAACACAATGAACAAACTGTGTCAGAGCCAGCTGCAGAATACAAGTAAAGGAAGAAAAAATAAAATAAAACTCTGCTGTTGACTAACAGATGCTCTACAAACATTTATTCAATATATATGTATGTCAAGAGATTTAGACATCAGCCATAAAATGGGCTTTATGAAGTGAGCATAATGGCTTTCAAATGATTTATGAATTTATGTATTTAAGATATTCCAAAAATATTTAAGCTTTATATGAGTATGTCATTCAAGATATATTAGCTACGTAAAGTGCAAAGGCTAGAACATTTTTGATTAGTTCGACAAATATTAGCAAATATTCATAAAACTTTAGTCCTCATAAAATGAGTATTTGCTCTATATATATGATTAAGTAATATTACATATTTTATATATTTACATAAATATATTTTTCTATTCTCATAAATTTCCATCTCTACATGCATTTTTTTTTTTGCGAAATTTTTCTGGAAATATTACAAAATTAATACTTACTAATAAATACTTTTTATGTCCTATATTCATAAAATTCTTTTTCATATATACATATATATTCACTTGATTTATTTTGTAAGCATTTAATCTTCATTTATCTCTGGCTTTCAACAGCTTGATTTGTGTTTAGTTGTAGCATTTGAATTTTAACCTGGGCCAATCAAATCATCATTTATTTGCACATATAGTTAAATGCTTTGTAATAAATAGTTTCAATTGTAGATTGAAATTTGTCTAAAGACTAATTCTGGCTGTCCAATAATTGAATAATTACCTATTCAATGGGTTTGCTGTAATATAGTAAGCTATAAATTTTTAGCTAAATGTCAGATAGGTAAACTATAAGCTCATTGAATTTCCTTTAACAATAAATATTTAATCACGGATAAGTTCAAATCAAATCAATGCTTTAAGGTTATTAAGCTTAAAATACTGGATTTGAAGTGCATTTTTGGACTTCAAAGATTTATAAAGATTGTTCATAAACCAGTTTTCAAAATCAATATTTCTAAAGCTCATTTGAAATAGAAAAGTGTCTGAGAACTTGCCTATTTGATAAACTTTTGTTGTATACTCAATTCATAGCCTGAAGCTAAACTCAAATTATAGGCAATTCTACTGAGCTCACAAAGCAGGAAATAGGAAACTTAAGTTTAAGTTCAAGACAGTAAGTAAATAATCCAATACAAAAGTTGTAATTAAAGTTAAGTCAATGAGAACTTTGTGACTAAACAGCATCACACACACACACACATGCTCTTTGACTTTTTGCTAGCTTCTCTTTCTTAGTCTCTCTCTCTCTCTCTCTCTCCCTCTCTCAGTAATGCTTTTCTTATTGTGGCAAACTTGTCAACATGAGCTTGAGGTGAGCTGTTTCAACTTCTGCTCAGCAAATATTTCATGCCTTATGACGTATGGGTGTGTGTTTGATCTGATATATAAAACCGCTACACTCATGATTTTCGCCGCCTTACTCTCATATAGGCGTATTAAATTTATGTTGCATACCTTGAGGCTGCGCGCTTAAAGATTTGACTCATGCAAAGATTTTGCACCTCTTCTGCTATTAGATCAATATATGAGCAATAATTTAAGTTCAAATTCGCCTATAATGGAACTGCAGCTCTTTGT